GAGCAACGACTCACCGATTTAGCCCTGGTTCGCTTTTCATTCTGTTGATCGGGGTAGGAGGCATGTGAGTACATTGTTTCAGTTGTCGGAATGACATCAAATCAAAAATACCCCAAGACTTTAAAGAATTAATAGACATATTATATTAATATTTTGCAGACCACGTATGACCTGCTATTGTTTTCTCAATAGAGTAATGACCACTATTAATACATCAAGAAAGCAACCTGAGTCAATTCAAAAGCAATTATCACAGAAATCCTGATGTAGTATAGAAATGGTTCAAGTTTTGTTCTCTCAAGTAACCCGTTCTGATAATACTTAACAAATTCTGTTATTCCAAATTGTTGATTTGTTTTTTATTAGAAAATGTCCTAATGGGTGCTCTTTGAAAAAGAGGTGGGAACTGGTTAATTAGTTTTAGAAATTGTTTAAGATATATATACATTTTTACAAGTCACACTTTCAAAGCAGTTTCCTCTTTTAAAAATTTTACTCCCGGGACACCTGGGTGGCGCAGTCGGTGAAGCGTCCGACTTCGGCCAGGTCACGATCTCGCGGTCCGTGAGTTCAAGCCCCGCGTCGGGCTCTGGGCTGATGGCTCAGAGCCTGGAGCCTGTTTCCGATTCTGTGTCTCCCTCTCTCTCTGCTCCTCCCCCGTTCGTGCTCTGTCTCTCTCTGTCCCAAAAATAAATAAACGTTGAAAAAAAAATTAAAAAAAAAATTTTACTTCCTTTATTATAGGGTAAAAGCCTCTTATGTACAGAGATGAGTCAATATTTATTTTCTCATCTCAGCTTCTCTCCTTGGACGTTTTAAAAGCGCAGAGTCTGAATCTGGCTTCCTTTAGATATTAATATTAAATGACTCTTGGATTAGAGTTCTCTAGAGACACACACCCAATGGGCTACACTGGGCAAGATTTACGACGGGGCGCTGGCTCCTGCTATCATGCGGGCAGAAGTCCCACGGTCGGCCAAGCTGGAGACCCCGTCGAGCTGGTGGTGTAAGTGCCAATCTAAAGACGTGAGAGGCCTGATGTCCCAGCTCAGCAGCCAGGCAGAAGGAGCCAATCCAACCTTCCTCTTCCTTCTGTCCCATCAGGCCCCGGAGAGATTGCATGAACCTCCCCTCCCTACGCTGGGGGAAGCTGATGTGCTTTGCTCTGTCCACCCATGCACATGCCAGTGGCATCTGGAAACTCCCTCACAGACACACCCAGAGGTTCAGCTGGAAGCTGGGCAGAGCCAGGAGTCAGCTGAGTTCATCGCAAACTTAAGCATCTCCACGATTGTGGAGAAAGCTTTTGTTCAGGCAAGCGGGTCCACCAATTCCCGTAGCTCTGTCAGGGATGCCTCCACGGTGACCCTTTCCCTGTGGACCACCTCTCGCCCCAGACTCCTTTGTCTGCTTACATGTAGCCCATGAAAAGCAGAAATGTCTTCAGAAGTGAATACTCGTGAAGAAACTTTGCTTCCAGTTTCACAGCAACAAACATGCACACATTGGGTTTTATGGTAATCAACAAAATACATGTCCAACAAGCTGCAAACAAAAAGCAAAACTGACAAAATCATTTTCTCCTATAAATTTCCCACAATAATTACCAAATATAATTTCTTCACTTTCTCAAGTTAAACTTTAACAGATATTAATATAGATAATGTAATAAACAAAAGCTCTCTCTCTCTCTCTGTATATATATATGTGTGTGTGTGTGTGTATATATATATATATATATACACATGTATACATACACAGAAATAGATGATTTAGACAATAAAAATGAAAATCATTTCATAATTGAATTGCCTGATAAAAATAGTACTCCATTTGGGTAATTAAGTGTTAGCCTTTAATGGAATACTTTTGGCATGTCCATATGACTCAACAAGAGAATAATGGTACATATGTTTCTGATTTGGTCCAAGTGAAAAATCTAGATAAAATTCAATCACATTTTATTTTAACATAACACAAATTCTTCTCTCATCTTTCAAAATTTACCACTGAAGATTTTTCTCAAGGAAATTGGATTGAATTCATCTTAATTAGTGCTAGTCTTTCAAATGAGTATACGTAGTCCTGCAAAGATATTCTTTCATACAGCTGCCCTTTAGAAATGCCAATAAGCATGTTTCTGCTTTCCCATGAGAATATTTCACATTTTATAAGGACGGAAAGTGCCAGCATGTGTAGTTGGAATGAGTCTGTGGTAGCACAGGGCTTCCCCATTCATGTAACTGGATAAATAGATCTATGCAGAGTAGAAATAAGAGAATAAAAGATCTTTTGCTGAAACTCGTCATACATTTCTTTTCAAAAGATCTAAAATGATGAATTCTATACACAAAAGCAAAAGAAAATCTGTTAATCCAACAGTATGCTCTGTTCGTATTGCTATATTAAAAAAGTGCGTGTGTGTGTGTGTATGCATATATATATATATATATATATACATAAATTTTTATTTGAGTGAAAAAATCCCCCCCCAAGCAAAATATGTCTTATCCAAGAAAGACCAAAAGTATACATTAAAGGTCTAAAATTTTAAGCAGTCGAGGAGGAGACTCTTAATGCTAAGGTACATCAGTCAAGAATCCGATAAAACACAGGATGTTAAAGGGAGCTGTTAGCCAGGGCATTGAATGTCCGAGGCTCATTCCCTGAGCCATAAGGAAGTCAGCGTGAAGGCATGGCGGTGCCATGTTGTGTCCTGGCCCCTGCTGATGACCAGCCCCAGGGGGTGAGAGTGGTCACAGGGTGTCTCCTCTGCTTCTGACACTGACTTGGCACAGTCTCTTGGAGAACAGGTTCGCAGCATCCAGTAACATTGAAGATGGGCATTCAGTTTAACTGAGTAATTACATTTGTAGGTATCTGAGGAAAGCGTCAAGCTTCCTCTAGAAAGAAAACAAACAGGCAAACTGTGTAAAAGGGTACGTCTGGCAACAGAGGCTTTAAAGAAACAGAAGAAATCGTGCTTACAAAAAGTGTATAAATATCCATAAAAATACGATAAAATGTTGCCTCTCTGAAATGAGGGCAGAACCCAATAAAAGATAAGAGGAACAATCAGATAAGAGAGCCTTTCTGAAATGAAATGTGAGAGCGGAAATTTTTCTATGTCTGAAGTGTTGGAAGGTGACTGGGGGGAAATAGCCCAGCGAGTAGCATGTGGGAAGCAGGGCGGGACCAGCGGCGAAGGACGGGAACCGGGGGAGCAGGTAACCCACACGAGGACACAGGAGCCCGTCGGGTGTTTGTGGGGGGGAAGCCCAGGCCCCGAGCCAGAGCCTAGGTTGCAGCAGAAGAGCAGGGGGTGGCCCGAGGCCCCCAGTCCAGTGCGATTCTCATTGCCATGCTGCTGCAGCTAGCTTTGTGTTTCCCTCTGGGAGCATTTCATCCTTCCCTGAATGCTAACTGAACACATTAAAATGTAATCAGCCAATCTAATACACTGCTTTAAAAAAAAAAAAAAAAATCTTAACGGAGCATAAACTCAGTTGCTTGCTTAAAAAAAAAAAACCACACTTTCTGAGATTTCACAGGTACAAAACTATGGGCCATCCCTTCATTTTTGACTCCTTTGATCGGAAGCTGCCGGAAGGATCACACCAACTCGCGCTTGCGCATGCTAGGTGGGTTGTGCCGAGCTCCCTCGGGCTCCTCCTTCCAAGACCAAGGCTGCAGGGGCAAGTGTGCTCGGCCATGCTGCTGTCTTAGTGGAATGGGGCTCAGCGTGCATTTGCCTGCTTTCTGAACTGGAAGGGAGACTGCATACAAGTCAGCGAATTCTGGACACCTGCTCTTAAAAAAGGCTGGCCCGAGGAAGAAATCCTTCACTAGGAGCACTGTGATTGGAACTGGTCCACGTGAGCATAATAGGAGACAGGCAAATAACTGGGGAAGATTCATACAGCAAAATACCTGTATGGTATTTTTGATGGTTGTATGGTTACCATTAAAAAGATGGCTCATGTTATAGAATAAATTCTCCAAAACTTGGTGACAAAAGCTATTAAGCAATGGAATATACAGCACACTAATGCTTAAATTTAAAAATAGAGAAAATAATTTTAACCCAATTAAAAGTGGACAGAGAACATGAAAAGATGCTCAGCATCACTTGTCATCAGGGACATGCAGATCAAAAGCAAAATGAGATACCACCTCATACCTGTCAGAATGGTTAAAATCAAAAGCAGAAGAAACACCAAGTGTTGGCGAGGATGTGGAGAAAAAAGAACCCTCGTACATTGATGGTGGGAAAGCAAACTGATGCAGCCACCGCAGAAAGCAATAGGGAGATTCCTCAAAAAATGGAAAACAGAATTACCACATGATCCAGTAATTCTACTACTGGGTATTTACCAAAGAAAACAAAAATGCTCATTCAAAAAGATACATACGTCTGTGTTTACCGCAGCATTATTTACAATAGCCAAGATATGGAATCAACCCAAGTATCCATCGATAGATGAATGGGTAAAGAGATAGATATATGTGTAAATATATATACACATATATGTATGTGTGTATATATATATATATACACACATACATATATATACATATATACATACACACAGACATACACACACACAATGGAATATTCGCCATGAAAAAGAATGAAATCTTGCCATTTGCAACAACATGGATGGATCTAGAGAGTATAATGCTAAATGAAGTCAATCAGTCAGAGAAAGACAAATACCATATGATTTCACTCATGCGTGGAATTTAAGAAACAAAAAAATGAACAAACAAGAAAAAAAGAGACAAAAAACAGACTCTTAACTCCAGAACACCAACTGGTGGTCACCAGAGGGGAGGTGGGCGAGGGTGCGGGTGACACAGATAAAGGGGATTCAGAGCACACTTATTTCTGTGGGCACTGAGAACTGTATAGAACTGTTGAATTATATTTTAGACCTGAAACTGATATAACACTGTCTGTTAATTATACTTGAATGAGAAAATAAATAAAAACAGGCAAAACAACTCAATATAGTATTTATGAGAACAGTGCATAACCAGAGCATAAAATAGGAAGGGGATGACAAATTCAGGATGCTGGTTATCTCTAAGGGGGAGGAAAAAGGCTTGACAAGGGACTTCAAACTCACCAGTAAATTATAATTTCTTAAAAACGTCTGAAACATGCATATCAAACTGTAAAGACTTGAGAAATCTGGGACTTTGTTATATTATTTCCTATATCTTTCTCATACTTTATCATGAATACTGAAAACCCCAACCCTGTGTAAAATGTAAAGTGGCCCCATTATTGTCACCACCGGTGAAGTTTGTGCAGTTCTGGGCATGTGTGCCCTCTGAGCGTCTGAAAGAAAGGCCGATTTCCTCTTTCATCTGTGGGCACAAAATGCAATAGATGAACTTTTTTTTTTTTTTTTAATTGAATAAAACCCTTGACTTCAGCAAAACTGGAAACTAAAGTTCACATTGCTTCTTAGAATTATCATTGCCACCTAGAATTATCATTGCCATCCACATTGACAGGTCATTGTTCCCGGGATTTATATGAGTTCTTGCTGAGTGATAGTTTCCCACACAGAACTTTCTGTCTTTTGCGTGTTCTTGGCCTCTCTAATTCTCATGGCTGTGGACTGAATGTTTGTGTCTCCCCTCCACCCAAATTCCTCCATGGAGATCTACCTGCCCCCAGTGTGAAGTTAGGAGATGGGTCCTTTGGGATGTGATTATGTCATGAGGATGGAGCCCCTGTGATGGGAGCAGTGCTCTTGTGACAGAGACCCAGAGAGCCCCCTTGCCCATCCCACCACTTGAGGACCCACTTGAGGAGAAGGTGGTCATTGGCAAGCCAAATACGCTTCAGAAGAAGCCAAACCCGCCAGTTCTCTGATCTTAGACTTCCAGCCTCCAGAGCCGTGAGAAATAAATATGTGTTGTTTAAGTCGCAGACTATGGTATTCTGTTAGGGCAGCCAAGCACGTGAGACATTTGTCGTTTCCCAAATGTTGGAGTCCTCTCGCTGTGACGGTCACTGGGGCCAAGCAGGTCCCAATCTGCAGTCCTGGGTGCAAATTATTGGTGCTAAACTCACACTCATTCAGCAAACATACAATGAAAGAAAGTTAAAGAAAATAGCAGCATTATATAATCCTCACCCCTTTCCACCCACTCGTATCTTAGACATTGCTAACAGTTTTACAAAATATAGCTGAAACAGGGAAACATTAGGTGCCTTTTCCAGAGCTGGGGCTGGGGGGGGGGCACCATAAAATTCTCTGACGCCCATGGGAGAAGAAATACATCATACCTCCGTGTCTGAAATAATCCCAGAACCATCACAAATTGATTCGTTAAAAAGAAAAGCAACAGAGAATTTCATTTCAAAGAAATTCACACGCTCATTATAACCAGGGATCGTTAGTAATCACTAACAGAGAGTCAAATGTGTGGTTGCGATTTTTAGATATTTTATCACCTGAAAAAGAAGCATTAAAAGAACTGAATTTTCTAAAACTTTCTATGTGTTCACCCAACGTCCGTGAGCCCTCGGTCCCGTGGCAGTCCCAGCTTGCTGCAGGCGACTCCGAGAGGGCGGTGCACACATGGGTTGAGGAAGATGTGATAGTTCTGACATGGTCGGTCGCAGGTGCACTCAGAAGTCTGATCATCTCAGGTCTAAATCTTGGGCCAGCCTTAGCCCTGATCTCTGAGTGGTTTTCCTCCTCGCTTCCTGCCCCTGGGAGAAAGTTTACTATAAAGCCGTGTGATCAGCATCCGTCCACAACACGCGTGTGTAGAGTTTCCCTGTTATACAATGATAGGAGTTACCTGGAAACAAAAGAGTGAAATAATTCATCGTTCATAAGATTTTGCTATATCCGTTTTTTAAACCCAAGTTAGAATCTTATTCAACTAAGGAAATGGAGTTCTCTACGCCGTCCTGTGCCCTAGAAGACGTGTTGGTGATGTATCTCCTAAATGTCCTCTTTGAACCCACCTTCCGGAGCAGCACGCTTGCATGAGGGGGGCAGGGCTCCGTGCCCCTCACACTTCCCTTCTCCAAGGCCCGCTGGTCCCCGGCCCTCTGCCTTTCCTGTGTCCTTCCTAGTGTCAGCCCTTACTGCAAACGCAGCAGGTAGAAATGGGTAATGTCAAGAAAAGGCGGATGGAGGGGTAGGTCCCATCGGTTTAGGTTGCCAGGTACCGATGCCTGGTCATCGTGTCATCGTCACAACGAGAACTAAATTTACCACCTTACCCCGAGCCCTGAGGACCCCATGACCCTCTTTCCATCTCAGCCTGTTGGATACAGCTGGGGTTCCCGGCCCCTGGGGTTGCTCTGAAATCCAAATGCCAGATCCTGCCATAGCGTATCCTTGTAACCTTCGCTTACGACCACTTGTCTTGCACATACGGCTTTACCGTTTGAACAACAAAGAACCAGGTTTCCATCTGTTGCGACAAAGGTCTCCCCAGAGGAAATTCTGGTAAAACACTGGGATTTTAATCCTGCAAACTTAGTCTCCGTTGCATTGGGTCCCTTGTCTTCTTTTTGTTTTAGCTTGCTTCTTTCTTCTTATCATTGTGCTCCAATCAGACATTTAACTGTCTGAAATCCCAGCTGATAGGTAACAGCAACTTTCTCTGAAAGTGGAATCTCACTGGGAACTGGGAACGTCCACATTCATTTCCTTCCTATTTAATACAGCTTTTTAGGAAAGACCTATCATCCACCCTTCACGGCATTGAACACACACTCCCTCTCTCTCGATTCTTACTCATTAGGGCACAAAATCCCAGTCTCATGTTTATATTTCTTAAATTCCTTGAAACAGCCAAATGGAGTAGGTAGCACTTTTTATTTGAGTAGCCCAGAGAACAGAATATAACTCATTCCCAGGAGCTGCCGTCATAAGCAGAGTTTGTAAAAGGGTGGCAAGATGCTTGGAAATGTTTCAAGCACTCAGCAGACATAAAGGAAACCTGGAGGGAGGCAAAGAGCTCAGATTCATATGCAGCTCTCCTCAGGTACTTACCAAGGACTTCTCCATTTCCTTTTTTTTTTTTTTTTTTTTTTTAATTTTTAAATCATATCCATTACAGCAAGATTTAGTGAGGGAGATTCTAGTCGGAGGCATGTGCTGAGTGCTGACCTGGGCATTTTTTTCCGAGGCATAGCACTGAGAAATTACAGAAAAGATCCTGGAAAATGCACAGGAAGTACATCCAGAGCCCGTGCTCCTCGGAGAGCACCTTGAAGCTTTTCCCTCTTTCTTCCGCCAAGTGACCACTTCCCGGAGGCAGTAGAATCCTAACACACGCGCATATCCCGGCAAGACTCGAATGGGTTCATTTTAATGCAGCCTTCATGGTTTAACTAAGTATATGACAGAACTCACTAATCCAGAAACACGCAAAAAGAGCAAAACCCATTTAGAAAAAAAAAAAAACCAAAGACAAAAAAAACAAAAAACAAAAAACAAAACTGGGCAACAATTCCAGAAACTAATCAGTAAGCTCTTTCTACTCAACACCCAGATTTGTCATCGACCTAATCACCATCCTTGGCACCCAAGTACCAAGTGGCCCCATCTGCGGGATGCTGCAGCCAGACTCTCTCGGAAGAAAGTTACTCTGTCCCTCCAGGACACAGGCTGGGAATGCACATGTGCCAGCGCGGGGGCATTCGGACTTCACAACATGCACACACACAGTCACACGCTTTACCCACACACGCACACGTGCACACAATCTAGTAACTGCAGCCGTATCTTCCAGTCATCCCCGGGGTACCCTCCGCTTAGTACAATTGAGAAAGGAATTTGATTGTACGCCATCGTATTGCACAATGCTTGTGAATTAAAACCAGACAGAATTTCGGTAGAGACGGCAGAGAACATTGAGCCACAACTCTGGTTTCCTCCGGAGAAGACACATCCGACTTTAACTGCTCCGGAGGAAAATCATTACGCGTAGTGCTCCTACACAGAATCTTTTTGTCATGCGGTGAATAGGTGTTTAATGTAAATCGTCACTCCTTAATTTATATGGTGAGAATGAGGTTTTCTCTCTTTCTATATTAGGTTTTATTATGAAGTGTCACCCTGGAATTCTACTGTACTGTCAATCTCTGGAACCCGACATTCTGACATTCCCCCGGGAGGATCTGTACCTTCCTAAAAAGCCCCTGTTAGAATAACAGAAATTGTATTATTTGGTTGCCATTCACTTTTCTGCTAGTGAGGTGTGACGGCAACAGTAAGTCTTACCATTTCACCTCTTGAGCAATCATCTGCGTGTGACAATGGGCCCTCTCTCATTCTGTCGGCTGCTAAGGGAACGTACCTGGGGTGCTTTAGCCTTCAGCAAATGTGACCCCGTTAACACAGCTCCAGCATCTCGCTCTCCCACAGCCCCACCGTGACGACAGGGCCTTTGCACCCAGCATCATTGCTTCCCACGGATGTATGCAGGGACTGCCGCCTTGCTTTCCCTGTGTCTGCTCAAAAGATGTCAAGGTCCTGCTGCTGTCACGCTGCCCAGGGTGCCCAGGGCTTGCCCAGGCTGCCCAGGGTCTGCCTCCCCCCCCATCCCTCCTCCCCCAGGGAAGCGATGAGAACAGACGCCATGGTGTCTGATCTCCAGGACGATGATGAGCCTGGTCCCCGGCCCCACCTCTGGCAAGTACCCGGGGGCCCCGGGGCGGGGGGAGGGGGGGAGCTCTCGGAGGCGCTTACCCAAGCTCACCAGTTCTGCTTGGGGAGAAAATCTCTGAGTTTGGCAGCAAATTCTTGCTGATTCTTCCACGATGGCTCATATCTGGGCACATGGAAAGGCAGTTGGGCATGTCTAACCGACGGCCGGAGGACATGTTTCCTGGCCTACTCGTTCATTCCCTGGCGAGTGTGCACTGATCGCAGGAGCCGGGACCACTGCTCCCCTTTCTCAGTTCTAGGGAGGAAGTGAGAGGCAAGGGGAGATGTGAGACCCCAGGTGGAGAGAGGTCAATCTTTTTCCACTCGTAGACCATCTCTCTACTCTACCCAGCGGCCACTGAGAACCTGCCATCTTGTGGGCCTTTTTAGGGTCGTGAAGCACAGTACAGAAGGGGAAGAAGTTCCTGTTTTCACAGAGATGCCACATGGCAGGAGAACGCTGTTCCATTAAGTGAGGCATAATCTTAGAGAGTATTAGGTGTCGTAAAGTGAATAAAACCTGACGATGTGAAGCATGCAGCTCCGAGGGCCCCATCCTCCTGGATTCCCTGGGGCACCCGGATGGGTGAGCTACAAAGTGCCTGAATGGGGCTTACAGTAGGGAGTAGGAGGTGGTATTGGAGATGCCCAGGCATTTTGTCTGAGCTCGTGTTCCCCAGAGGTATGCCTGGAGGTGAAGATTATTTGATAGGATTATCCTTGATAGGAAATTCTCCTTGCAGGAGAAGTCAGTCCAGGAGCCCTGGAGCGAAATCAGGAGCCAGAAGTAAAGCTCGGGGGAGTCCCAGCTCCGGATTGTTTTCTCAGGGGGGTCTGGAGACCACGTTGCCCCCCAGTTGTTCCTTCCATGGGGGGGAAGGAAGCTGGGCTTCCCACACCGGCTCCAGCCCCAGGCTCTCACTGAGCTTTCTGGGGAGTCCCACTCGTCCACGACAGTACCCTGAGCAAAGCTGGTCTGCAGAGAGCAGGGGAAGGTCACCGGAGGCAGGAGAAAATGGAAGCCCAGGTGCCCTGAGGAGGGAAGGAGGTGGGTGCAGGCCGGGGCAGAGGCTCAGTGAGTGCGGGAAAGCCGCAGGGGGAGGGAGGGGTGTGGCCAAGGCTTTAGATTTGGGTCTGAGTCTGATGGGATGCCTTTGGAGGGCCAGGGACACTGGTATTTTATTAATTATATCAGAAACTAAAGGGAAAATGATTTGTAAGAAGGCAAAAGTGAAAGCTGGAAATACCACCCATGGACATAGCAGATTTAAAGTAGTTCAGACTCTCTACTTTCATATATTTCTGGATGTAAGTAAGAGCCCAAACTTGAAAATATTTGACAATTGAGGTACTTTGAATGTCCATCTATCTGTCTGTCTGTCTATGTATCTATTAATCCACACGCACACACACAGATTATTTCATTGTGATAATTACTCACGGAATCCCACCTGATGCCAGACCGGATTTACGATTCAGATTACAGGAGATAAGCAAGATGGTCTATTTTTCTGAGATCCCAAACACCTCAGACATACTGTCACCAAAGATATGAAAGAACTTTTGTATTAGATCTAATATCTCTTGAAATAAACATGTTCAAGAGATTATAGAGTAAGATGTGTGTTCCTCAAATGACATATTCTCAAAAATTCTGGAAAATAACTCACTAAAGCTCTAAAAGATGAGGCTGAGTTACATTATTAAAAGCGGCTGGATGCCGTGACAGTTTAATATTTGAAAGTCAAGAAATAGAGAACTACTGGGGCGCCTGGGTGGCGCAGTCGGTTAAGCGTCCGACTTCAGCCAGGTCACGATCTCGCGGTCGGGGAGTTCGAGCCCCGCGTCAGGCTCTGGGCTGATGGCTCAGAGCCTGGAGCCTGTTTCCGATTCTGTGTCTCCCTCTCTCTCTGCCCCTCCCCCGTTCATGCTCTGTCTCTCTCTGTCCCAAAAATAAATAAACGTTTGAAAAAAAAAAAATTAAAAAAAAAAAAAAAGAAATAGAGAACTGCTCATTATCTGTGTCTTCTGAACGGAAAAGAAATGTGTGTCTGTGTTTTCATGGAAGCATGGATACCCTTAGGTTAAGCGCTACATTTCTCACCCGCTGGACACCAGATCGCTTTGGCGTGAATCTCTGTCTTCCTCCGGAGCTGCTGGGATGCATTATTTGAGAAGTGTCAGAAGATATTTCTGTGGCCGTTACTATACAATAGTCATCCGTGACGTACTGGATTTCACTATTATTTTGTGATGTGTGTCTGTTATAAATAATATGAAACGTTAAACGTTCATAGCTAAGGAATACTTTATCGCCTTAATTAGTACCGAATGATACGTTATTTTTAACACAAGTGCACGTTATAACTTTCTCCTGATCCCTGTATTCTAAACCTTTCTCAGCAGCCTTCTGTCTTACCACCCGTGCCCCATTTTTTAGTTTCAACATAGTTGATATACTTAAAACCAGAGGCATCTATATTAGCCTATTTTCTGAAGATGACAGTAAGGGGTTGATTTGCCTAAAGGATTGAATGGAAACACCATTTTCTGTAGGGTTGATTAAAATAATATTTTAGCCTGTTTATGTCTTTAACCCCATATAATATGGGAATATTAACTAAACATAGTGACTAAAATAAAGATAATAAAGACAAAAAAAACAAACAATAACAAGCCTTTGTTTCATCCATGCCTTTCAAGTGCCCCTTTATGCTGTCACGGATTTACAGCCTTCTGCTGGACTGGACGCATGCCTGTTGCAAATGAAAATCGAGCGCGTGCACGTAAACATCTAATGTCACGAGAGTGGCTCTGAGCACTTGCACTCTTACTATGCCCGCTAGTGCACTCCTGTGCAGACAAAAACAAAGCACCTTCCCAGGCATGTGCGTCACCCCCAAAGTGAAGAAGGGGGCCTCGGTCCCACATTCCAGTCACCACAACTGTTTCCATGCTTTGCCTTCCTCTGGTTTTTGACAGCGAATCTTCACAAAGTCTGTGCAAATTACAGTAGATTTAAATTTTCTATTTTTATTTCCTTAATTATCCCTTTCTTCCTAGATAGTTTAGATTTTAAAAGTCGAGTTTTGTTCAAAAAAAAAAATGTTTAATTGAAACTTTTTAGAAAGCGTACTTGTCACCGAGAAATTAATCAGCAAAATCAGTGAGCTAATTTTAATGATGATTACTATTTTAATGGGTGAATATTTTTAGCTCTATCTGGAATGCAAAACTGCTCTCTGACTTGGTAAGATTTAAAGTGAGTACAAGCTGCGTTTTGCCACATCTAACAAGCACAGATAGCACATTATCTTAATTCAAATTAGAAAGGTATTTATAGACTAGCCTACAAAGCCGCAGTATAGGTAATGAATAAATGATGCCGGAGGAGACCAAATCCTGGTAAGTGGGTAACGAGACAGTCCCTGCGGTGGCCGCGGCCAGCTAGCCGTCCTGCCGAGAGTCACGAAGACTTCCAACCTATCCCACTTTTCTCGTTTTATGAAGAAGAAAGCATATCTCCCAATTTAGGCCACGGCTGTAAACTACCGTATTATACCTGTTGGGGTGTGTTTACGGCCTTCGGTAATCAAAAGTGAATGCTGTATGTCTTGCGTTTAGTCTGAGCAGAGAAGGGAATTTTCCATGGAACGTCGTGCTACGAATTGCCAAGACTCATGATATGTTCCCGTAAATAAGCCCCCTACGAAAGTGCATTGTATCAGTCGCCGTGTGGAGTGTCTGCGCCGACAGATTCTGACCTCCTCTCTGTCTTGTGAACCGCGCTTTTAGTCATCTGTTTGCACAGTTGGGGCATTAGGCGAAACCACAATACTTGCTGCTGTGCACTTGGTCCCTGCCGCGGTGACGTCTCGTGAGGCAGAGCCCTGCTCTGACGGCCGGGGGGGGGGGGGCAGGGGGCGCACAGGAGGGAGGGCCTCAGCGACTACTCAGCGTGGCACTTAACAAGGCAAACGCGTAACTCGCGTGTTTCAGCATGCCCGGGCGAGGGACATCGGCAGACTGAAAGAGTTTATTTTTAAAAGAGTGAAACCAGGGCTTCGGTGAGGAGCCTCCTGGACTCACAATCGTAATCGTAATCACAATGACGGGACAGCTGTGTCTTATCCGCACCCGGGCCACTCCATTGCTTCTGGGCGTCCCACACCTTCCTCGGGGACAGAAGGCCTCTCTCCACCAGTTCCGGCCTCGCATCACCCAGAGGACTGTGGATAAATGAACAATTAGGGCTTTTGGCTCCAGGAGCGACTGGCCTGAAACTAAAAATATTTCAGCTTTGGCAACTAGCATCCATCAGAGTGAAGGAGAGGCGTCCACGATCGATTTCCCTACACTCAGCCCAGAGAGTGTCCCCAAAATGAACCTCCAGTGGCAGAAATGGAATACAATTAAGTGGGATGATTTTCCTTTCCCTGAGAGACATTCTCGTTAGCACTTTCTCTCACTGAAAGTATTTATTTAACCTTTTATAATAAAACAGCCGCCTTATTATTAGATAAATGCACACTTTTATTTTCAGTGCCATGATTTTAAATATTTCACAGCCCCTCATTATTTGCAGAAATATCACAGGGTCACTGCTCTCCGGGTTTCTGTTTGTTTGTTTGTAACATACCTCGGTTGCCACTGACTATACTTGCTGGATGTCAGAGATACCACACGTAAGCGTGTCCTCAAATCCACCTGCCCGGACCTACTCCCCCCTCGCTTGAGAGATAAAACTTACCTTTTATACCACAGAAGGGAGATTTTATTCTTTCTAGACCCATGCCTACCAGCAAATGGCTGTATTTGTATGTGTCAGAATCGAAGTGTGGTTGGAAATCAGAGGGTAGGTTTCAGTGCTTCTAAAAATAGAAGAAGGAAAGTAATGTCTTTGGTCACAGCTCAGCTCCTATAGACACACGTTGTTTTCCAGCACACCAGGAAAGGGTTGTTACTCTATAAAAAGAGGTGCCCTGGCCATTCTTAAGATCCTGTGATTTCAACTTGTCTTGTGCAGCGTGCATACGCAAGGGGTGCCGAGCGCAGAGGGATATAAATACTTATACAACAAAACATCCCCTTACCTTTGAAAAGTCTGTTGGAAAACCAGAGGTAGCCAGCCCCACCCTGACATCAGGTAACACTTTTCATCCGGGTTGCCCATGCTGCCATGAGATTTTCACCTAGGAGCTCAACATTTGCCCACACCCATTTGTGGTTCCCAACGTCTGCCCGGAGGATCATTTTTTACCCTGTGGGACACTCTATATAACCAGCTCGTGAGAATCCAGCTTCCACCCACCCCCCAGCTTCACACCCAGTACACCAAATGGTGGGGCGGGGGGAGACAGGAGTCCCGAAAGGACTTGTAGACTTTCATCTGCCTTCCTCGTGCGGACCCCTGCATTGTCCCTTCTTCTCACCTGCACTGATCTTGTGTGCCTCGACTTGCTTCTTCCCTTTTCCTCTCCTGCTATGCTTCCACCTTAGCTTGAACTGTCCCAGAAGCAGCCCTTGGGATGAGGAGGGTTTAGGGCAAATGCTTATTACAGAAATTCTTCTGGGAGAAACCTACCGGTGAGGGAGTGAGGGAGATGTGTAACAGCGGGGTCCACATGACCCCACAGGGAGACCCAGCCCTGTAGACTGTGTTCCTGCTAGAGACAGAGGAGGGGCTTCTGTGCCCCGGGGATCAGTCCTGGAGGTGGGGCTGTGCAGAGAGAGAGGCCGTGGGGGCTGGACTCTGGGTTCTTCCGGGGCAGCCCTCGGAAGGAGGCCCCTGTGCAGCAGGGCAACAAGGCAGTGGGAAGCACACAGCCTGTTGGCGATGAGGACTGGGGGGCCTGGACGGGCAAAGACGACTTGCCATCGCGCTGTTGTTCGGGTCTCTTGAGCTGACCAATTAACACGTTCACTGCTGCTCCTTCCTGACTAAATCAGTGCCTTTTGTGATGCTGCGTTTACCTCAGGCAGCAACGAAGGGCCAGAGCCCAGTGTCCCCTACGTAACGCGTACCCTTCCTTAGTCATGCTTGTGTTGGGGGCACTTTTCAAATGATCGGCCTCCGGGAATGTGTGACAGAAGCTGGGAAATGAAACAAGACTGAAAAGTATCCTGTTTACATCAGCCCAGCCCCAGCACCAATTGAACAAGTTAGTGGCATAAATTAAGTTTGACGTTTAGGTTGGGTATTTTTCTTGAAAACAGAGAAACAGGGAAGATGAACAGAAATAGCAAGCCCTAGGTTTTCCTGATTAGATATTTATGATAAACTTAAGAACTCTTCTTAAGGAGATGGAAGAAATGAGTAAGCACTTAACATATATTGAGAATCTCCTGAGTCAGTGCTTAGGACGGACCTCATTAATCTGCACAATATCATTATGGTTGAATTAAACTCTTTATTCTGTTGACGAATAAACCACGGCTTAAATGAAAGTACTTGTCCAAAGTCACATAGCTTGAATAAAGCTGAGATTCAAGTCTGGGTTTTCCTAACTCAAAAGTGACTGTTGTGTTTTTTAATTCACACTATTTGCATAACAGAACTTACGTTATGCACACGTAAGTATCTAATGGAGAAGAAAACAGATACCGGGTGGCACAAAAATATTCTTCAGGAGACAAGTCCTTGAAACCTGTTCCTTTACCCAAACTAACAACATTAACCACATACCTCAGAATATCTTCATTCTGTCAAATATTTAAGTGGTGTTAGACTGTACCCTATAGTCTTAAAACCATGTGTTTTTACTGTAAAAGAGGACAATCACTGAATCACGATCGAGAAGCCTATCACACAGTTACACATTTATGCGTTCACTCAACAAAGAATTGTTTAAGTGTTCACTATGTTTTCTGGGGAACAGGGATAAAGAGATGATTAAGCATAATCTCTACCATCAGAAGAGCTTCCCAGCTTGGGGATGAAGTCAGATTAGTTCACTGAAATGCTGTAGGACTCAACAGGAGATGTGCTTTGTATCACAAACAGCATGAACCATAGAATGGTCAATTCTGTCAAAACAGGCTTCATAAAGAGGATTATGTTTAATAAAGTGTTTAAAATTAATAAGTATTTATTAGCCAGAGGGGGAAAATAGAAATTGTAAGAAGAGGGGACATAAGGAGAAAATCAAGAGGATCCAAACATGGGACTCAGCATGCTTTGTAACCAGAATTACAAGCGACATGTCATGTGCCCCGGGATAGCTGTGGTACATATTCGAAGCAATAACATATGTAATACTGTATATAACTGAAAATTTCAATTAGTTATAAAACATTTGAGAAACTGTCTGACATAAGGTGACTGGGTGTGTGTTTATTAACCTTTTTACTGAAGTAAAAATGCCTACAGGAAAGTGAACGAGTTATGTACGAAGACCACCGGGTCAACCAAAGAAGCGTCACTGCTCCGCCACCCAGCTTGCGCGTCCCACCGCAGCAGACGCACGCGCTTCTCGGCCTCCACCGGCTTGTGGAAATGTCAGCGTCCACCTCAATCTCCCAACATCTCCATAGTCTTTATTTTTGATTACATAGATTGGCCTCATCTCAGTTTTCTTTACTTTTATAGGCTTGTAACACTCCACATTCACTGCGGCTGCTCAGACAAAAACCCTGGTTTACCTCTCTTTCTGGGGCAGATGGTCACACTGTATCTCCCAGCCTCCCTTCAAGGGCAAGGTGGCCGTGTGATGGCTCTAACCAAGGCAATGGGGACCAACACGATATTTGTCACTTGGGCCACAGCCATACAGAGTGGGCCTGTCTTTCTATGTTTCTTTCTCAGTTTCACCAACAACATGCAGATGGGAGGGCAGAGCCAGAAGATGGAACGAAACGAGGTCCCTGAACATCACGTGGCTTCCTGACAACCAGGAATGCCAACCTGACGTCTTTATGAGGAAGAAAGAAACGTTTACCGTATTCAGCCACCGAACTATCAGTGTCTGTTTGTTACAGCAGCTGACGTGGCTCACATACCAACCAGGAGCTGACCCAACGAGCAGGAAAATGTTTCCCTTTGATGAATTTTGACTTGCTTGCGTGGCCAAACTTGAACTGCCTGTAGGGCCAAGGGCAGGGCGGACGATGGAGGCCCTGAGAAGTAAGAGAGAAAAGGGAAGCAGCTTGCAGAAACGTGATACCTCGTGTCTCCTTGGTCCTTGGAAAGCCTCTAGCTTTCTTTGGGGACAAGAGTCACACAACTGGAGATCCCTGAAGAGGAAAGAAACGTGGGAACATTTCTGTATTGAGATGATTACCACATCTGCAACTGGGTCTGAAAGATAGAAGCAAGAGACAGAGCCTATAGTTTCCCATAAAGATGGGGGGCGGGGGGAGTGAGGAGAGAGCATGAGTAAGACAGCAGCCCACAAGGAGGAGAGGATGGGAGGTCACGGAAGTGGAAGGAACAGGGTCCATTTGTCACTGAGAAAGTGGAAAGCAAACTCTAGAGACAGGAGACAGAACAGTGGTTGCCTGGCTTGGGGGGATGTGGAGGAATAAACAGGTGAAGCACAGAGCATCTTCAGGACAGAGAACATACACTGTAGATACTGCAGTGGTGAATACAGTCCTCAAGACCTATAGACTACACAAGATAGAGTAAATCCTAATATAAACTATGGACTTCGGTTCATAGCAATGTATCATCAATAATACTGGCTCTCCTGGCACAAAATTAGACACATAGATCAATGGAACAGAACAGAGAGCCCAGAAATAAACCCATGCTTATGTGGTCAATTAATCTACGACAAAGGAAGCAAGACTATACAATGGGGAAAAGACAGTCTCTTCAGCAAATGATGCTGGAAAAACTGGACAGCTGGCTGCAAAAGGATGGAACTGAACGACCTTGTTAACACCACACACAAAAATAAACTCAAAGTGGATTTAAGGCTTAAATGTAAGACCTGAAAGCATAACACCCTGAGAAGAAAACATAGCAGTAAATTATTGGACATCAGCCTTAGTAGTATTTCTCTAGATACGTGTCCCGAGGCAAGGGAAACAAAGGCAGAAATAAGCCACTGGGACCACATCAAACTGGAAAACTTCTGCACAGTGAAACCATCAACAAAATGAAAAGGCAACCTACTTAATGGGAGAAGATATTTGCAAATAATATGTCCCATAAAGGGGTAATATCCAAAATATATAAAGAACTCATACAACTCAGTATCAAAAAGACAAATCATCAATCTAAAAATGGGCAGAAGACCTGAATAGACATTTCTCCCAACAAGAAATCCAGATGGCCAACAGACACATGAAAAGATGCTCGGCGTCATTTATCATCAGGGACATGCAAATCGAAATTACAATGAGACATCACCTTATACCTGTTAGAATGCCTACAATAAAGAAGACGAGGAATACAAGTGTTGGTGAGGATGAGGAAAGAAAGGAACCCTCCTGCACAGGTTGAGAACATAAATCGGCGCAGCTGCTCTGGAACACAGTAGAGAGGCTCCTCAAAATATTAAAAATGGAAATACCATGCAACCCAGCAATCCCTCTTCTGGGTACTTACCTGAAAAAAACAGAAACACGAATTCAAAGAAATATGTGCACCCCTATGTTTCTCGTGGCATTATTTACAATAACAAAGGCATGGAAGCAGTTCAAGTGTCCACTGATAGATGAACGCATAAAGAAGATGTGGTGTACATATGAAATGGAATATTACTCAGCCATAAAAAATACGAAAGCTTGAAATTTGTGGCAACATGGATGGGGCTAGAGAGTACAATGCTAAGTGAAATCAGTCATACAGAAAAGACAGATATTCTGTGATTTCACTTTCGTGTGGACTCTAAAAAAAAACCAAAAGAAATGAAAAAACAAAAAACAAAATAAAACCCAGAAACAGACTCATAGATACAGAGAAGAGACTGCTGTTTACCAGAGCAGAGGGGTTGAAGGGATGGGCAGAATTGGCGAAGGGGATAAAGACATACAAACTTCCACTTATAAAATAAATAAGTCACAGGAATTAAAAGTACAACATAGGAAATACAATAAATAATATTGTAATAACAGGGGCACCTGGGTGGCTCAGTCAGTTAAGCGTCCGACTTTGGCTCAGGTCACATTCTCCTTGTTCATGAGTTCGAACCCTGCATCGGTCTCTGTGCTGACAACTCGGGGCCTGGAGCCTGCTTCGAATTCTGTGTCTCCCTCTCTCTCTGCCTCTCCTCCACTCATGCTCTGTCTCTCTCTCTCTCTCTCTCAAAAATAAATACACATTAAAAATAATAATATTTTAATAACAATGTATGGTGGCAGATGGCAAGTAGAGTTATTGTGGTGAGCATTTGTAACGTTTAGAATTATCACTGCTCTACACTTGAAATGAATATAATATTATATGACCACTGCGCTTCTATAACTATGCTCAGATTCTGTTAAAAATAGTAATATTGACTCATCAGCTATTCCACGTTTA